AAAAAAAAAAAAAAAAAAAGCAAAAAAGGATAACCAGACACGTTCCAAACTAAAATAAGATATTGGAAAAGAGAAAAACGAAAACTGAATCAGATAGGTATTAAAAAGCTATCATTAAAAAGTTGAAAAAAAAGTTAAAGAAACATGAAAGCATAAGTAGTCAAAATAAAAAGAAAAAATTAATGGAAAACGAATAAACAAAATTTGACCAAATAACAACAAGTTATGTATTAAGAAATAGAAAAAAAGCCGGAGAACAAGAAAACACTTCAAACAAAAATAAAGGTGTATAATAAAAGGGAAAAAAAGCGAAATCTCAGCAAATGGTCGATGCGATACATCACAAAATAGAAAAAAAATCAAAAAACACAGAAGTACACAGCCGGCCAGCTAGCCGGTCACGAATTGAGGTTCAGTAATACAGACGAAGTGAACGACCGCTCAGCAGCATCACAACAACAAGAATCCCAGCAGCAGCAACAGAAACCTACCGGTTGGAATCAACCATCAAAAAACGCGCTCTAATGTTCCCTGTATAAGAATAGACTGACTGCCTGAAAACAGAATTGAACGTTACAGAACAGGAGCAACAAAAATGTTTGATAAACCACAGAATAAATATTATTGTCTTACAAAGAAAGTGTTTTCTAAAGTGAGCTTAATCTATGCTGAATAAGAAAAACGTAAAATTAAAAAAGCTATTATTTAAAATGTCGATTGGAAATTCTTCCTTTAATGACTGAAGAGTGACACAGAACATTATGGGGTAAGATTAATGATTAAAGAATGGTGCTGAGTATTGAACTGTCTTAAAATACTGTTATAAACACGTAGTAAAAAAAGCTAATTCCAAGTGGGAATGATGCGACTTTTCAGAAGACCTCAAGAAGCTACTGTAATAACATCGTATGGATGTTCACAGGTTTGCACAGCGAGGCTTTTTCTACAAAATCCACATAAAAGCAACAAACAGTTTCATTTAACACACCTTCTACGTTATTTTAAAATACTGCCTAGTACAAGTACATTCAGTTCTATACATACCATATTAAAAAGCTAGAAGCATGCACTTATAGACAGGTGTAACGTCGGCAATATCAGCTTTTTAAGATTTATAACTGAATTAATAGATGAATAATAACATATAAGTTTTATGATTTTACTAGGCAGAATTAGATAAACATAGATCTGCAGCGATACACCTCAGTAGAATAGACAATTCT